ATACTCTGCACTGCTTTCTCATAAATCTTAAACTGCTCTAAAAATTAAAATCTATTAAAAAGAAAAAAAAGCCCTTTCTTTTAAGAATGTTACTATTGAAGATCTTCACTATTCTCCTAAAGGATATGGGATTGTTTTTAATATTATTAATAATGTAATTTAATAATGTAAGTGAAGTCTTAGCACAGTGCTGGCACAAGCTGGATATTGCATTCGTTTATTAGTTCACTCAACAAATATGTAGTGAGAACCTATTTTAAGATAATTTCTGTTATAGGTGCCAGCAGTACTTGAAGTGTATATGGGGCAGAGGAAGCAAATAAAATAACAATGTTCATATAATGATGAATGCTATAAAAATACACTAAACAGGGTAAGGGGGTAGAGGATGATGGGGAAGGTTCTGTTTTTCTAGGGCAATTGGGAAGACCCTTCTGAGGAAAAAAATCTGAAAGCAGAGACCTGAAAGAAATGAGGACTCTAGTGATGCAAGAATGTGAGAAAAGATCATTCTAGCACGGGAAACAAGTAAAAAGTGTTGAGGTAGGAGTGAACTCGGTTTATTTGAAGGCCAGTTTGGCTTAAGTGGAGTGAGTGAAGTGGGGAGTGGTTAAGAGACAAAGTCAGAGAACTAAATGGGGTTAAGATCAGGTGAGCACTTGAAGGCCACACTAAGAAACTGAATTTTATTCTCAGTGTGATGGGAAGTCTATTAGTGTAGGGCTTTCAACCAGCAAAGGGATCCAATGTAGTCTACATATTTAAGATTACTCCAGCAGCTGCATGGAAATGGACTGTAGAGAGTGCTAGAGTGGAAACACACAAACCAGATTGTAGGTTACTGCAGACAGATACCTAGGTATAAAAGGATGATGTTTAGATCAGTGATAACAGTGGAAGTGGGAGTGGGGATATATTTTGAGATAGAACCAACAGGGTTTACTGACTGAGTACGTGTAGAGGGTGAAAAAGGGGACTTGTGGACCAATCAAGAAAAATGAACGTGAATACAGTCAACACTCATAGGACAGAATATCATAGATGGTACCCAAGATCTAAAGACCTTCAATGTTTAGGTTTACCAGCTAATCACAGGATGGCCACAAACTTGGCATTTTTCTATATAACATCATCCCTTTTTACTGAGACCTTTATTCAAGCTAGAACTCTCTGAAAAGACTTATCTTAGAGACTAAAGGGAACTGCAGGAAATGCTGTCTTGATGAGAAAGTATGCATGCTTCCTCTCATTGGGGCAGCTGGGGAGGCTGCCAAGTGTAGTATTTCTGTATTGTCTTCCCTTCCCCCTTCCCTAAATTTGGTGTGGGCAGCAACTCCATTCATCATTGTAGAATGAATGCCTGGCCCAGAATATATGTACAGTAAACATTTGCTGAATGACTGTGGAAAAAATGGCACAGGAGCACCACAGAGTGTAGAGGTAGCCTAAGTCTCCATTAGAAACCGCATTTTAAGAGAAAATAGCAATATCCAGGCCAACGCAGAAGAAAAATAAAGTTCAAAAGAGGGTTAAGTTTGAGTAATCAATATGAGTTCTAGGCTAGAGCCAAAATGAGAAACAGTGATTTTGCAAGAGACAGCACAAAGGGCTAAACAATAGTCTTTGTTGGGATTCTGCAGCTAAACTTGATGATCTCATCAGAGAATCAGCAAATGTCAGAGCTGGAAGAGATGTTAGAAAACTTTGGATCAATTCATCATTTTACAGATGAGGAAATTAAGATGAAATGTCTTGGGACTAGAACCCAATTCTCTGGACTCCAGATGCCAAATTCCTTTTTTACATGGCGTGGATTGGCAGTTATATTAAACTTCCTTTTCCATATGTAGGCTCAAAGAGGAGTTTTCAGAAGCAAGCTGGAGAAATAGACTTCTAAAGTCTAAAGTGTATTCCAAGTTAAATTTTCCTTTTAGAATTCAGTCCCATGAAAAACGAATCATCTCTCCTAACAAAGTTCTATCATTCAGTGAAAATGAGGCAGCCCGCCATACTTGCTTTCCTTTTTGACATGCCTGCCAGGAAGCACAGAGCTAACTTTAATACTTAAATCATAACAATAGTGGCCTCAGTTTTTAACAAACAGTACTAATTTCCCCCCTCCTCTTTTTATGTCTTTTCATTTTTTATAACTATTTCAATGGCCTTATTGTACATGTGTTTTCTACTGTAAGTCATCTCAAATTCTTTTTGGAAGTCAGCCAGGTATAAATCACTAATAAACCAAACTAGAAAGATTTCATTTCTCTTGTGCACTGGAACTATACTACTTATAGTGTGGTATCAGTTTTCAGATCCTGCCCTTAACCTAAAAGGTCAGATTTTACCTTGTGGCTTTATATTTATAGAGAAGAGAGGCCACCACAGGACAGATTGCACACAAATGACTAGTTATAAAATTGTAGGGTCTGCCTGCTAACTAGGCAAGTCCCTGGAAACTTCTCTGAAATGAAAACAAGATGTGGAAGGAGAGTGCTATGTTTCCTGTGCTGACGTGGCAGAACTTCACTGACAGCAGTATCCTGGGGGAGGCAACGCAGACTGGTCCAAGGACGGTCAGCAGGTGGTAGATTGTGCCACATTCAACTCCAAATTTCTTCTGACTACTCCCCAGCCCTGAGAAATGAGATCCTGTAGCCTTCCTCTCTTCTGGATTCTAGCCACGTAAAGAGATTAAAGCACTCATTTTCTAAAAACATGAAGCTTTCTTTTCCCTCCCTAAAATTAAATTCCTCCTAAACCACAAAAATTTAACCCAGACAGGATTAGGAAAGCAATAAAAGAGTTCCTGCAGAGATCTTTCCTCCTGCTCCCTTACTGCTTCAGAGTCTTCTGTCCCCATTTCTGTCTAGGTAGTAAAAGAAACATTAATAAGTCCCCCAAAACGTCAGCTTCTCCAGAGGACACTAGACTTTCATGTTTATGCATGTGAGCTTGAGATGTCCTGTGGCTCTTATTTTTCACTCCTCCCTGAGTTTTTAAATTATGTTCTTTATTCCTATGGTGTTAGCCATGATTACCATGATAATCTAAGAGATAGGTTCAAAAGAAAAATGGTACTGTGGCTCATGGAAACAGTCCTTCCCCGAAACATCCATTTGGATTCTGTTCATGGTCTCTTCCTAGTCACAGCCAATTTGTTCAGATAGGGACGAGAAGGTGCTGCCCCAATGTTCCCAACACCCTGAAGAATGAGACAGTTGCAAAAATCTATGTTTATTTAGAAAAATCTAAGAAATATTATGAAATGTAGGCAAGATTAGTGTATGAAACCAGTATAGCAGGTAAGAGCTCAACCTGGGCCCACGCTGCTGAGTCTTTATCCTTACCTACTACATGTTATCTACAAACCTTGGACAAATTGCTAAACCTTATACATTACTTTCCTCATCTGTAAAATGGTGATATGTTAGTGCTTACTTCACAGAATAGGCTCTCAAACTTTGGTGTGCATTAGAAACAAGGGGAGGACTTGTTAAAACATGGATTACTGACCTCACCCCCACAGTTTCTGATTTAGTAGGTCTGGGGTGCTGCCTGAGAATCTGCATTTCTAACACGGCCCCCAGTGACACTGGTGCTGCTGGTTAAAGGCCACACTTTGAGAACCACTATCATAGGGTTGCAGTGCAAATAACATAGGTAATATACAAAAAGTGATAACAATGACTATTTTTATGTACCTGTTAGCACTGTGCCTGGTTAGCTATGTCAAATGGTGTTAGTTATTATTATCTTACAAGTTGTCCTGTCAACTTACAAATCATAGTAAACCTGTAGTTGAACTGTCATATAATCCATTATAAGAAACCTCAGTACATAGGAAAGAAAATCCTATTAAGTAACAGAAATATCCTTATTTTAAAGAGCATATACATTTATAAGGGGTTGTAAGGGGTTCTAAATACTAAAAAGTGACTATTTCATTGGGGTTTTTCCCCCCTAAAATTTGTCAGTATCCATCTGTACATTTATTATGAGGCAGAAGAGAAATAAAGGCTGACACAGCTACTTCTTGAGGTTTCTTTTCTCTTAATTACAGTAAAAGCACCAAAGCACATTTAGTTATTACGGTCAAAAAGAATTCTTCGACTCATTTTAAGTAATTAAGAAATCCAGCAAATGCGGACCTTGCGACTGGCAGTTAGAAACATCTACAGCTTCTAAAGGGCAGAGGAAACACAATGGCTACAAGACAAGGATTGTTAAAAAGCTCTCCACAACAAAGGAAATGAACGCAAATCCCTAACTTGCAGGCGTTCCAGTGACCCTAAGGACAAAGATAAAACGCTCTGACGAAAAGCTGTGGCGTGTTAAGCCTTGTGCAGAGAAAGAGAATACCAAACATAATGTCGAAGGTTAAGATGTTTTCTCTGCAGGACTCTTTGACCGTGCTTGAGCCATAACCAGAACGAAGCACAGGGAACCCCTCACTGTGTCTTTTCCGTGCCACACATCACTCCTTTCAAGGAGAAAACTTTTTAATAAACTTAGGTTGAGTGCCTCTTCTGTTCTAAGCACAGGGCGATTCGAGGTTCAATGACAGGCAGCCAGTCTTTGGTAAATATCTAACTTTTCCAACTAAATTAGATCTATGTTTTTGGTAAAAATTCTCCAGCGAAACATGAGAATTAGATAAAGCATTCTTGCATCGTGATGGCTCTTGAAAAATTAAACAAAGGGCGTATGTTTGCAAGAATGCAAAAATAAGTCTCGCCTTAACAGTTAAAAAAAATGTAATATACAAACTACTTTCCCTGACACTTCTCTTTCAAAAATGTACGTGATTATCAGTACTGTGCCATCAGGAGGGCTCCACGAAAGTGGTTTTTCATCTCTAGCGGGGTAAGAAGTAGAAGTGGGTTGCTCGTGGGTGAATTTGGATTCTGTCCTTCCAGCTCAAAGCCTCCCCTGGACTTGGTACGGGTGGAGGGAGTGAGACCCGAGTCCCCAGATGGGACTCTGGGACTGCCACGACTCACCTCGCCAACTTTTCCAGGCTCGCTGCGCCCCGGCGGCCGGCTCGCGGGCGCGGACGCGGGGGCCGGG